AAGACAGTATGGTTACTCAGTTATTTCTATGGGATTGACCTACCTTGAGCATCACCTTTAATACAAACTAAATGGTCAGTGAAATTTGGCTATTCTGTCATAGACCAGAATAGCTACCTACTTTGGCTAGCTTTTTGGAAACAATGTTCATCATTCCACTTAACATTTTCCCAGACAAGATACTCTTTCCCTAAATAGTTTTCAGCTATACTTTCCTAGACCATATGCCTTCTCACAATCTTAAAAACTTTGAGAGTTGAACATTCATTAGCTGAAACCTCTACTGCTAGAGCATACCATTTAAAAAAAAAAAAAGGATGAAAATTATATTTCTCACTCACATCCATTTGGAAATTCATGTGGAAGTCCCTCATCTCACAGCTGCTTATTTGTGAATATTCTTTAGGCAGTTTATGAGTGTCCCTAAAATGCTTTATTTACTACTTCAAGCTTCCTGGGGCTTGTTTTTAATGTCAAATAGAAAAAGAATTTCTATCAATCTCAGCTTAGATCATTGGAAGTACTAAATGAATAATGTGAACAAATACATGAGATGTAATGAGGACTAAAGTATGGCTCTTATAACTTTTATCAAAATTATATTTTTAATTACTTGACGTAAAAAAAAACTGACATAGCATCCTTCTAAATCTTCCACTAAACTTGTACTCATAGTATTCTTACCATTTCTTAAACTAATGATTGGCTGGGTTCTTGAAATTACACTTGTAGATCGAATCTGAAACAGCAGCTTCCGAGGAAACACTGTCCAATGCCTCCCAGCGCCTCAATGAACTAGAAAAGAACGTGGTAGAACTTAAACGGAAGGCTGCCCATAACTCTGAGGAGGCAGAATACATTGAAAAAGTAGTATATACTGTAAAACAAAGTGCAGAAGATGTTAAGAAGGTAAGTAAATCTTTGAACTTCATAGCTAAGTTAATAAAATCTCAACAAATCTCTTCCTTGTCTAACTTAGGATTAATAAGGGACAGATAATAAGGGACATTGGTTATTCACCAGAAACATTCCAAATGACCTATTTTGAAATGTTTTTAAAGATATAAATAGAAAAGTATAGAAGTAGATATTAGAAGGGTCCAATAAATATGACTTAGGACCTCAAATCCCAACTGGAATTAATTTAACCTAGGGGTATGTCTTAAAATACATATACTGAACTTGTATGTCTATATTTTAATCAGAAAGATCTTTATAGCATATAGTAATTTGAGAATACTTTAAAAACCATTTGAGAATACTTTGAAAGCAGAATGGAAAAAGCCTAGATCTCAATATAGAGAATGGCTTGTAGAAAATCAAATCTCACCTCTTTCAGACTCATTTTGAATTAACTACACCTTCTCATTAGAAAGTACTATATTTTGCAGAGAAAATTTTACACAAGCCAAACTTTGAGCTAGAAGCCAGATAATGCTTGAAGTATGCATTTAATTTCTCAATTTATGCAGATAAATGTTAATCTCCAAAGATACTTTTGAAACTTGTGGGGAGTTATTAAAACTGTAAAATGATTTTTCTAATTCCTTCCTTCTCAGAATTTTTCCTAAGTTGCTGTAGTTTCGTTAATATTTTTTAGTTGTAGTTGAACACAATACCTTTATTTTTTTTTTAATTTTTTTTATGTGGTACTGAAGATCAAACCCAGCGTTTCACGTGTGTTAGGCAAGTGCTCTACCACTGAGCCACAACCCCAACCCCACTTGCTATAGTTTCTAAGTACATAAATGTTAACTTCCCTACACCACTCAGTGAAGAGAATAAAACAATATATGAAGTTTATTGCAGCTATCATTTCTGCTGTAGTTTCCTACAGTTTGAAGGACAGAAGTCTCCCAAGTAGTCTGTTTATAAGGCATTTTACATAAAAATGACATAACAATGAAGAACAAAATACCTTGAAATGAAATTTCCATGACTACTGTTTGAACAGTTTTCAGGAGAATCATTTGTAGCTACTTTTCCTAAACCAATGCAATTCTCTCCTTACCCACTTTTTTTATATTGCTATAATCTTACTCTTCTTTCCTAATTTTTTTGTTTGCCCTTTTCCTTGGATTTCCTGATGTCCAGTTTTCAAACCCTGTATTAGTCAAAATGCAGATGGATCCTTCATCTCTTCAGATGGACTTTCTTTGATGTCTAGTCTACTTTATGAAGCTCTCCATGTAGTTAAGCTACTTTTCTATGGAAAAATGTTCATCTGAGGGCTTAGATGCAATGCCAAAATTTTTCTGAAAAAAAAAAATTTTTGAAATCATAACTTAATATGAAGCCTGCACAGTGTTCAGAATGTTTGCTTTGCGAATTAGTATTTTTATGGTCCAAACTTGCTGCATAATTACACAATGACTCTTAGATATAACTACTGACATTATCACCTCTTTGTGTCTAAATGTGGAACTGCAGACTCTGGACAGTGAACTTGATGAAAAGTATAAGAAAGTAGAAAATTTAATTGCCAAAAAATCTGAAGAGTCGGCTGATGCCAGAAGGAAAGCTGAAATGCTACAAAATGAAGCAAAAACACTTCTGGCTCAAGCAAACAGCAAACTGCAACTACTCAAAGGTGGGTCTTTTTGCACTTGGGCTCACTTTTTCTTTAAAAGGTGAAAGTTTATTAGCTTTATCTTAGGTAAGCAAATAGAACCTTATAAACACAGATTGGACCAGGTTTTCAGATCATCATAGACTTAATGTTTTCTTTTATCTTCCACAGACTTAGAAAGAAAATATGAGGACAATCAAAAATACTTAGAAGATAAAGCTCAAGAATTAGTGAGACTGGAAGGAGAGGTCCGTTCACTCCTTAAGGATATAAGCCAGAAAGTTGCTGTTTATAGCACCTGCTTGTAACAAAGAAGAAAAGGCTATAAGATAGCTGAGGTGACCAAAGTAAAATATAAAATAGTTCCATTTAAAAAACTGATATAATGATGTTCAAAATAAAACTCATTACCTATTTAATGTTTTAATCACCAAATTTTATATGAAGTTAAATAAAGTATGGTGCTTTTATATAAACAGTATAATTCTTACATTTAGTGTTCATAATTTAGTGTTCATAAATCCTTTGTAACAAAGAATTTTTTTTCAATGTAAAGATGAATTTATAAAAGCTTACTGCCTCCTTGAAGACCCAAATTTGTTATATCTTTAAATAAGCTCTATTACCCATCTTGTCTTGTCACCATCTTCCAAAAATCTACCCCTTAAAAAATCACTTCCAGGTTGGATTCCCGAGTAGAAATTGAGGAGGGATAGCGCCTAAGAAGCCTTCACTGTTCAGTGACTGCTTAGTTGCTCCAATCTCCAACTCTTGCAAGTATACTCTGCTCTAGGAATGTGTACAAAAGCAATTTCTGTAATTGTGGTTTATAAGTTTTACCACTTAGAATCAGGCCACAGTTTACAGTTTACTGCTTTTTGCCTTCGGAGCAATGCTACTATTAATCATAAAGTCAAGTCACTACAGTATAATTGCCAAGGCAGTGTCAATTATGTAGCTGAATTAACTAGATTACAGCCCAGCTACTATCTTCTTACACCAAGACTATGCATTTAAGCATTCATATATCCAACACAGCTGCATTTGAAATCAGGCCTAGGTAAGTTATGTGAACAGCTGGAATTTAGACAACAAGGCAATGTCCCTCCAGTCTAAGGCAATTATTTGTCACTTTTTTTGAATTCTAATAACAAAGTGGTAGTATCTTACCATTAGAGCAACTATTATTTTTTCTTAAATAGCAAAAACCATCTCTGTTCCCCATGCCTTTTCAGTTAAAATTAAAAAAGCTTTCACATTATAATAATTTTAAACTTAAGCTCACTCTTCACAGGCCCTCATAATACTGAAAACTAAGTCGCTAACAGTAAGTGAACATTTAAACATTTATTCCTAGGACTTTATTCCCCACCTCATACTGAATGGAACCTTTAAGATGGGTTTATTATATTTCATTCAATTCCTTAACTACAAATTTTCCCTGAAATTTAAATAAACTAGCACCAAAATATTGAGATTTTTTTTTTAAGATGAAGGTCATTTGCAATAATAGCAAAGTAAACTATCACACCAACTCTTCTACTGCTAACAACTGCAAACTGTGAACAAGATATATTTAACAAAAACTGTAAAGGCACTGGAGAGCAACCAAAACAGATGGGAAGCTAGGTGAGTTGACACTAAAGCAGGAAACAAAAATTGACTGAATGTCCCATTTTAAAAAGCTGTCACTTGAGGAAGGCAAAAAGCAAGTTTCTTTGTTAGAGAATCAGAAGACAATTTGGGGCAACCCCAACAGCTGGAATATGAAGGGGAAAGTGAAGGAAAGTAAAGACCCCCTTGGCCCAATTCCTAGCTAGTTTTTAAACTATATATATTCAGGCAGCTCAAATAAAGCTAAAACAATAGAAATTTTAGCAGTTCCCCTACCCAACAAAAGTATGGAGTTTAAGTCAACTGCCCAATTAATTTTTTTTCAATATTTTTCAGAGTTATGTAAGAGAAGCCGGTCTTTATAGTATACCAGTCATGACTATAATATAATCCCTAAGATCACTAAACACAATAAAGGAAAATGTGAACCATATAATGTAATTAAAGACTAATAAGCTTTTCATTTTAGCTACAATCAACGGACTGTAATCAATCTCCAAACTTTCCTAAAAACTATAACCTTTAGATTGCAATCCAGTGAATATCTAGTTTGCCTATTGCTAATATTTTAAATTTTTATTTAAAATTTTTATTCCTTTTTAGAAGTCTCTGCAATCTATACCAAATATGGAAACTTCAGGAATCTGAAATGATTTTCAAATTTAGTTATAACATGGAAAAGCCTATTTAGCATTTAATACTTGGCCTTAAGTATTTAAAATGGTTATTTATCTTATCAGTAAATGCAACTTTATAACTCTTTAAAGAAATGATCGTTTTCTCAGCCAAGGAAAATGACATAGAAAAAGACAGCAAGTTAAGATCCTTTATGTTGTATTTCTCCAAAAGTATATGCTAAACATTTACTAGGTATCTGTAAAGCAGATGAAAGAGAAATGACTTTTTAAATGATGTACTTAATATTGTACAATATGAAAAAGATATTCAGAACTATAAAAGTAATAATAAAATATACACCAGATGTAGTCATAAATGAATCAGGACCATCTCAACATGCACTTAGAATAACCAGTAAGTGAATATTAAGACATTTATTTTGGTATCTTCATTCCTTACTATAATACATTTGAGTCTCCATTTTAATATTTGAGTTCTGTAGATAAGACTTTGAGTAACTGTAACAGATTTGTAAGCTTCAATGGAACCTTTAAAAACCCCTGAAATACATAAATTCTATCCCTAAACTGCAAGAATTTTAAGAGTTTGAAATGGAAGAGATGGTAACTTTATTTACACGAGTTCAGTTCATATATATTTTAATATTGTTCTAATAACTGATTTGTTTCCAATATGAAAACCAAATTTAAAATAACTTGATCACCTTCTTTCAAACACAGTTGCTGACAAACCATACTCCAGGCTCCATCCTTGTAAAAAATAAATCCAACTTTACTGAATCAGATAAAAGCCACTTAACATTAATTCAAGGAGGTTGAGCCTTTCATAAGTAGCATGAAAATATGGGTTGATGAAAACGTTGCAGGATTCTATTATTAAGAGCTTTTTGTCCTGCATAGTAATGCATTGAAACAAAATATTTCAAAATATAGACTATTCCATTCTTTCCAAGCCTATTAAATTCCTTCCAAAAGTTTCATAATTCAGTCTTAGAAATTGTTGGAACTGTGAGCATATCCTGTGACCTCTACAAAAGCTTCCAGGAGATTTCAGAAAATATATCTTCTAATTTAAAAATTGATTGATTTGCCAAATGATGCAGCCAGGTTTGCTTCTCTAAAAGCTTCTGATAAGGTCTGCAAGGGAAAAAAATGTAAAATTAAAAATCAAATATTTGTAGGTCAAAAGAAAGTTTAGGTAGCCCATAATTCTGTGTGTTGTTAATAATTACCGGATGTGCATGGCAGACTCTAGCTATATCTTCACAGGAGGCTCCATATTCCAAAGCCAGAGCAGCTTCATTTACCATTTCTCCAGCACCCTTTAAAATAAGCCAAAAAGTAATTTTGCTTTAAGGGAAAACAACTGTGTGCTAATAGGATAGCAATTATTAAGAGAACAGAATTTTAAGTCTTGTTTGCCATTATGGCAACTGAGGAAAATTCAGGAAAAGGTGACACAGAAGAGTTTGGGCTCTGAAGCCAGATGTATTCAAATCACTTCACTCGCTACCTCAACCACTCATCGGCTCTATGTGCTTCATTTAATTTCTTCACTTCAATAATAGCACCTATCTCACAAGCCTATTATAAAAATGAAATAAGGTTAATGTATATACTTAGGAAAAGCAACATAGAAAGCACTCAAATATCATATATTGTTACAACAGATACCTAGGGGAAGAATACACTGTAGACTGAGTGAAGGCTTCCCTTAGGAAGGAATAACAAGAATCACCCATACCAAATCTGGAGGCAGAGCATTCTAGGCAGAAGATCCTACAAGCACAAAGGCCTATTATAAAAATAAGACTGATGTGGTAAAAAATTAATGAGCATAGACAGGGAGAACAGAGAGATGAGGTCAGAAAGGTGAGCAGAGTAAGGCTAGATTCAGTGAGGGCTCATCTTTAACAGTTTGAAGTTTAAAAGCACCACTGGAGGGTTTTAAGCAGGGATATGGCATAGTGTATGTTTTAAAGGGATGATTTAGCTGTAGTATAGATGATATACTACTATATCAAGACTGTGAGAGTACTGTTGGTACCCTGGTAGAAATGAAGAAATGGTAGAAATGAAGCCTTATGCAAACTTATTGTTGATAATAACATCAGAATGTAAATACCAGGTAGTTTAAAATTAACCTGTAAAATAGCAATGCTTTCCAAGATTCTCAATGGAATTTCTATTTTTACAATACTCACTGGTCCTAGAATATGTGCTCCCAGTACTCGGTCTGTTGATTTCTGCCCAAGAATCTTCACCATGCCATCTGTGTCAGCATTTGTCTTAGCTCTGCTATTAGCAGCAAAGGGAAATTTTCCAACTTTATACTCAATACCCTGTGAGACAAAAAATGAGAACTTACATAAGCACTGAAAAAATTCATCTCCATTACTGAAATCATCTACTATTTGTACAGAAAACAAATCCCAAGAAGACAGTTGTCCACAGAGCATACAGAAAGACCAAAAAGCATGTTAATGAAATCTATTTGGGGTATAAATGCAAGCAAATATAAATGTATGTCTGTCTATTTCAAGTCAAATATAAAAGCTCTGAAATTATTAGTTTTTTAGTACAGGCAGCTTATTCTTCCCTCTACTACAACTGATAAACCTAAAGAGTGAATGAGCTCTTTTTGATGCCAACAAAGGAAAAAATACATAAAATCTAATGTTCTCCACAATTACTAAAAAAGCATCTAGTATTGCATTAATAGTTTATCAGTCACCAGTGTCATTAGATCAATTCAAACACTGAAATAAAACTGCCCATGTTCAGAATTACCTCTTCCTTCAACTGCTCTTCAGACTTGCCAACCCAAGCAACTTCGGGGTGTGTGTAAATCACTGATGGAACGCAATTGTAGTCAATGTGCACAGCACCACCAGCTATTCCTTCAACACAGATAATGCCTTCATCCTCTGCTTTGTGAGCCAGCATTGGACCAGCAACCACATCACCAATAGCATAGATACTACCAAGAGATCAAAAGAAACAGTGAACTTCTGAAATCAAGGATACTCTTCATCAGTTACACCATGTTAACAAAAATGTTTCTAGGGCTGGGGGTATAGCTCAGTGCCTCATGTGTGTGAGACCCTGGGTTCTATCCCCAGCATAATAATAAAATAAGTGAATGAATGAAGAAATAAATAATTGCACTTCTCGTTAATAAGTCACCAAAACACATATCAAATACAGTTCTTCAACTATAAGCAATGGAAAAAATTTACTAAGTTCTTTTTTATTTTACATCTTCTAAGTACACTATTCTTCCCCCAAGTTGACACATTTTTTAAAAAATATAACAAGTGTCTTATTTTTAAAACAATGTGTGAAATAAACTTTAAAATAACTGTAAATGCCCAGCATCTGAGAGCTCAGTTAAGAGGATCACTCGAGCCAGCTCAGGAATTCAAGACCCACCTCGACAACACAAACCCTGTATGCAAATAAAAGAAAAAAATACATACACATACACATAAACTGAAAATGTAAATAATTACCCAACTTACTTTGGTATTTTTGTTTGGAATCTGGTATTGACTGGAATTCTACCTCTAGGATCTAATTCAATTCCAAGATCTTCTAGTCCCAAATTCTGAGTAAAGGGTCGTCGACCAATGCAAACCAAGAGTACATCACAAGTGATAACTTCAGCTTTACCACCAGAAGCAGCTTCAATACTAAACAATGAACAGCGTATAACTGTTAAACACACATCTATAAAGATAGGTGATAGTAAGAAATTTAAAATCAAAGACTTCTCAAAGCTTGATGAAATTTCTAATAATGTTAAGTTTACTTCATTATAAGCAAACTGAGTCAGACAATGGGAAAAATGTATACATCCTCTAGAGTTTTATCATTAAACTCTAATAAAAACAGGCAATGTAATATACTAGTTAAAAATAGAGTCCTCAGTAGGAGGCACAGTGGCACACGCCTGTAATCCCAGCTACTTGGGAAGTGAGGAAAAGTAGCCAAATTCAAAGCCAGCCCCAGCAACTGAGTAAGACCCTCAGCAATTTAGCAAAATTCTGTCTCAAAAGAAAAAATAAAAAGAACTAGAATGTCACTCAGTGGTAAAGTACCCTTGGGTTCAATCCCTAGTAACATCCAAAAAGAAAAACCACAAGTCTCAAGGGTGGATGGTGTGGATCAGGCTCAGTGATAATGTGATTGATTGCCTACGGTTTTTAAGGCCTAGGGTTCCATTCCCAGCAACACAAAACAAAACAAAAAAGCAAAAAACATAAATCTTAGAATCAGTTAAGAACTATTCTGCCATTCATCAGCTGCATAAATTAAGTATTTAATAAGTAGAATACAGACACAGTAAACAATCTAATATTATTGATTTCTGCCTAAAAATACTATATTAATTTTACTCAACAATGGGAACTTTAAGTTTTGTGAACACAAATTATGAAAAGGAATATTACAATAAGAACATTGGTTAATTTTGTCTAACACCAACTAAATCATGAATTTCAGTGCACTAAGTTGATAGATAGATACTGAGTCACACAATAAGCAATAAAATCGTCTTATGTTATAGAAACCCAATACATTTGTTAAGCTGATTGAGTGTTTCTTAAGGTGACAAGGATGATATGTCAAAAATAAATGTACTATACTTACGAAACATCAATTTTTCCATCTGACTTTTTGGTAGCACCAGTAACCTTTGTATTCAATTTAAATTTAAATCCTTGCTTTTGAAGGATGCGTTGAAAGTTTTTAGATACCTCCATATCAATTCCGACTCCACCAACATGACCCAAAAATTCAACTGCTGTCACATCTGCACCTAGTCGTTGCCAAACTGAACCCTACAAATAACAATTTTAAAAAAAGATAAAGATTTCCATAGCAAATGTTTATTGAATCATCTTAATTAATTTACTTAAGACAGTTTCTTCTCTTGCTAATACTTTTATTAGAAAGAGGTTTAAAATGAACTCTGAAGTAAATGGGTATAACTTCATATATTCACTTATTCACTCAAAATTTATTAAGCACTAACTATGTACTACATATGCTTTTATATGCTAGGCATATATTAATGACCAAAACCCACGAAATTCCTGCCCTTGGGGCCCTTATATTATGGAAGGGGAGACTAACAAGTAAAATTCATGCTAAGGGACAGTAAAGTACTCTAAAGAAAAAGTAGAAAATAAGAATCAAAATATTGCTGGGGTTGTGGCTCAGAGGTAGAGCGCTCACACTTGGCATGCATGAGGCACTGGGTTCAATCCTCAGTACCACATAAAAGTAAAATAAAGGTATTGTGTCCACCTACAACTAATAAATAAATAAATAATGAACTTTCAATTTAAAAAAATCAAAATATTAAACTGGCTTCATATTTCATCAACAAAATATGTTAAATTTTATCAACAAAATATGTTAAAATGTTAATTTTATTCAAAGTATAATTTCAGCTAAACAGTGTTTTTGTTTGCTTGTTTGTTTGATACTAAAGATTGAACCCAGGAATGCTTAACCACTAAGCCACATCCCTAATCCGCTTTTTAAGTGTTCAGACAGGGTCTCACTAAGTTGCTTAGGGCCTTGCTAAATTCTGAGATTCACTTTGAACTTGCAATTATCCTGTCTCAGCCTCCCAAGTTGCTGAGATTATAGATGTGCACCAATGTGCACCTGGCTGAACACTGTTTTTTTATTTTAACCATATTTTAACAATTAGCATAACTTCTGAACAACTGCATAATATACACATGACAAGCAAGATGAATGTCATTTTATAGCATTAAATAATAAAGTATGATAAACAAAGAACATACCCTTTGCACAAAATTATATTAAAAAAATCACCTAGTATGAAGAATAATATTGGCCAAATTATATTGCTATATTGTGTGCATGTACTAATGTGACAACAAATCCCATCATTATGTACAACTATGATGCAACAATAAAAAAAAAATGGAGGAACAAAATCACCTAGTAATTTAATTTAAAATTAGCTAAAAATTTACTCTTTCAATTAGGTTCGTACATTCATTTTACAAATTTCATAAAATTTTGAGGTGAGAGCTGGGTTAAAAAGAGGCAATACAGAGTCACTAAAAATCCAACAGTGAGACTATACAAAGATTAACTCAAAATGCATCCTGAACCTAAAACCCAAGATTATAAAACTTCTGGAAGAAAACACAGAAGACAATCTTAGATCTAATATCTAGATATCTTAGAGACAATATCAAAAGCACAATCCATAAAACAAACAAGCAAAAGATAAATGGGACTTCATCAAAATTAAAAACTTAGAAATATTAAGAACACAAAAGCAAAAGCCAGACTTTTGCAAAGATCTGCAAAATATTGCAAAAAATCTATGTGATAAAGGATTTAGATGTAGAATACATAAGGAACTCTCCAAACTCAATGGGAAAAAAAAATACACCAATAAAAAACACAAAATACTGGAACAGATACTTTCATCAAAGATGAAAACAGATAGCAATTATGCACAAACAAAAACTCTCAAGACTACAAATCACTAGAAAAATGTAAATTAAAACCATAATAAGAGCAGGGCGCAGAGGCGCATGCCTGTAATCCCAGTAGCTTGGGAGGCTGAGGAAGGAGGATCCCGTATGAACAGCTACCCTCAGAAATTTAGCAAGGCCCTAAGCAACTTAGTGAGAATCTGTCTAAAAATAAAAAAATAAACAGGGCTGGAGATGTGGTTCAGTGGTCCAAAAAAAATATATGGACAGTACTAAGTATTAGTGAGGAAAAAGAGAAATTGAAACATGAATCACTGGTGGTACTGTAAAAATGATGCAGTCACCATTTTGGAAGGTGTTAAAAAAATTAATACACAGAATCATTATGTGACTGAAAAATCACACTCTTAGGTACATAACCATTAGAAATGAAAACACAACTACATAAAAACTTATCCATGAATATTTATAGCACTGTTATTCATGATAGTCCCTCAAGAGAAACAACCTAAATGTCTATCAATTGATGAATATAGGTAATAAAATGTATAATATCCATAGAATGGAATATTATTCAGTTATAAAAAGATATTAGTATAGACAGCATGCTACAACTTGAATGAATTTTCAGAACATTATGTTAAGTGAAAGAATCCATACACAAAATGCTACATATTGTATGATTCCACTGATAAGAATGTCCAGAATAGGAAATCCATAGACATAGAATGTAGATGAGTTTCCAGGAAGGGAGAAATGGATAAATGACTGCCAATGGGCACCTGATTTTTTTTTCCTCAGGTGAGGAAAATGTTCTAGCATTATGCAATGTGATAACTATACAACTGTGAACTATGAACTAAAACCATCAAATCAAACCCTTTAAATGGGAGAATTATACAATATGTGAATTAGTTCTCAATAAAGTTGTTTAAATGCAACAGCACTCTTCTGAAACTAAATTAAAATAATAAGAAATAGTAGGAGTGTGGAAAGAGTAAGAAGCATTATCTTGGAGTAGTATCACTCAAGTAGGGAATGATGAACACAGATAAGTTCATCTATCCTAAACTGATTCCAAAATTTCAATAATATCCACCATTTATTTATAGAGCTTATTACATGCCAGGCATTGTTTAAATGTGCCATTTTATTAAAACCTGACAATAATCCTAAAAGCTACATAGGATTTGTATCACCATTATGAAGAACTAGTTCAGAGAGGCTTATTAATTTAACAAGAACACAAAGTCAATAAAAAGCAGAGCTGAAATTCAAATTTAAATATGTACTATTCCAAAACCTATGTTCTCTTTTTCTTGTGGGGTAGGGAATGTGGGGCAGGGTAGGGAGTTCTGGGGATTGAACCCAAGGGCACTTGACCACTGAGCTACATCCATGCCCCTTTTTATTTTCAGACAGAGTCTCACTAATTGCTTAAGGCCTCACTAAACTGCTGAGGCTGGCCCTGAACTTGGGATCCTCCTGCCTCAGCCTCCTGAGTTGCTGGGATTACAAGCATATGCCACAATGCCTAACAAAATTTAGAGAACTGGGAATTTTTTTCACTTGACATCCTAGGAATTGAACCCATTTTAGGGGAGTGCTCCATCACTGATTTACATCTCCAGCCCTCTAAATCCTATGATTTCCACCACCAAAACCGAAGCAGGCAGGCAAACAGTAAAAAATAAAAATACAGTCATATAAAAATCTTTATGAAAAAGGAAAGAGATATGACTATACAGTAAATTCCCTAAGTTTTTAAAAAGATGTGAAAACTAATTCAATACAATAAAAAAAATCTAAAACATTGTGTCACAATGTCTGAAAATGACCTAAGATGTTATGGTTTGTCGAGAGGTAATCCCCCTAAAGATCACAAGTGAGACAATGCAAGAAGGTTCAGAGGAGAAATAATTGGGTTGTAAGAGTCTTAACCCAATCAGTAAATTAATCCTGATAGGGATTAACTGAGTACTAATTGAAGTGGTAGGGTGTGGCTGGAAGAAGTGGGAATTGGGGACCTAGTTTGGGGGTATATATTCATATCTGGCAAGTGGAGACTCTCTCTCTGCCTTCTGATCACCATGTGAGCAGCTTCCCTCCACCACATTCTCCCACCATGATGTTCTGCCTCACCTCCAGCCCTGTGGAATGGAGCCAGTCTTCTAAGGACTAAGACCTCTGAAACCATGAGCCCTCAAACAAATGTTTCTTTCCTAAAATTGTTCTGGTCAGATCTTTTAGTCACAGCGGCAAAAAAGCTTACTAAAGCATAAGGCTTGTAAAAAACCTAAAGCAAAAGTGCTAAAATGAAGAAATGGAATCACTTTTTGAGGATGTTACACTGACCAACAAAAGGAAACCTAGGCCAGGTGCACTGGCATATGCCTATAGTCCCAGTGACTTGGGAAGCTGAGACAGCAGGGTCATAATTTTGAGGCAAGCCTTGGCAACTTTGGGAGACCCTGTATCAATATAAAAATAAAAAGGGTTAGGATGTAGCTCAGTGGTAGAGCACTTGCCTAACATAAGCAAGGCCCTGGATTCAATTTCCAGTACTAAAATCAACCAACCAATCAATTAATCATTATTCCTTTAATGTTCTTGTTAGCAACCTATGAGAACAATTTTATAATGGAATGAATAAAATATCTTTAGACAAAAAGTGAAGCCCATTTTCAAATGAGTTAATTCCACGATCAATCCAATTAGTTTGACATTAGACATTATCAGTGAACTCTGTTAACTTTAGCATAAAGGAATTGCCAAAATATTGCCTCTAAATTTTAAAAAAATGGAAAAGAATAGATTCTGGAACATGGAATAGAGATCAGTCACTACAAAATACTAGAAGAAACTGTCTGTTTTGACAATGATTAGATGCTACCGCAAGAGTTCCAAACAGGTCACGTAAATTGCTCTTATTTTCTTGACTGGTGAATGTGGTACATTTTGATATCAGCAAGGTGTTCAAATAAAGTCTCAATATAGATAGACCAACAGAGACTCAAAGATGTTTATAACTTGTTAAGCACTGTGGCATTGCCAGGTACAGTGGCACATAATCCCAGCTACTTGGCTAAGGAAGGAGGATGGCAAACTCAAGGCCAACCTCAACAACTTGGCAAGACTCTGTCCCAAAAAATAAAAAGGGTAGAGGATGTAACTTAGTGGTAAAGCACCCCTGGGTTCAATCTCCAGTACTTTATCCTGGTCACAACTTGAATGATACCAGAGGTAGTATCCTCCATCAAAGAAGATGAGATCTGATAATGGGACTGCATTCCTCAGTTAACAGTCTCCCCAAATTTCTGAATCACAAAAGGCAAAAAGAAGCAGGCAAGTATAGTATATAAATATCAGAATCAAACTAAAAAATAGATTGGAATAATGTGTGCAAGTGGACAAAACAGTCTTTAGTTAGGTTTAAAAGATTAGCCAAGCATGAAGATGTATACCTGGAATCCCAGCTATTCAGGAAGCTAAGTGGAGGATTATGAGTTCAAGGCCTGTCTGGGCAACATAGCAAGACCCATCTCAAAAAAACAAATTAAAAATTACATATGTGGGCTGGGGATGTGGCTCAAGCGGTAACGCACTTGCCTGGCATGCACAGGGTGCTGGGTTCAATCCTCAGCACCACATAAAATAAAATAAAGATGTTGTGTCTGCCAAAAGCTAAAAATAAATAAATAAATATTTTGAAAATTCTTTCTCTCTCTCCTCCCTCCCTCCCTCCCCCCACCCTCTTTCTCTCTCTCTCTCTCTTTAAAAAAAAAATTTACATATGTGGGACTGGGGTTGTGGCTCAGTGGTATAGTGCTCACCCAGAATGTGTGACGCACTTGGTTCAATTCTCAGCACCACATAAATATAAACAAAATAAAGGTATTATCTACAACTAAAAAAAATTACCCATGCAAAAAATGAGGTTTTTTAACTAACCCCAAGTTTGATATGGCTGCTTTAAAAAGAGAAAAGATAAACAACTAAACTTGGTTGTCTAGTTAAGGGATTCCATTAAAAGAAGTATATCTATGAAAAGAAGTAGTTTCTATTATATTGAGTTCTAAATAGCATCACAGGTGAACCTGATAGAGTGGACCACATCAAAATGATGACAACAAAATAATGGATCTGGTTTTTATGAAACCAAAGTACTAAACATGAAGAATAGCAATGCTTGGGGTGGGGCTATAGCTCAGTGGTAGAGCGCTTGCCTCTCATATGTAAGGCACTGGGTTCAATCCTCAGCACCAAAATAAAAATATATGTGTCCATATACAACTAAAATATAAATTCTTAAAAAAATTTTAAAGCAATGTAGAGTCAAATATAAATAAAACTTAGTTCCTGCCTTCAAGGAACTCACGGTATTGAAGGGAATTAAAAAGTGAACAAGTAAATGTAATGTACTATTATTAGTAGATCTTACAAAACGGTAGATACATTATACCAAGGACTCAAAGACAGAAAGACTTAAACTCTAAGAAGTCATCACTAAAAAGGCAACTACTAAGCTGACTTTTGAAAGATATTTATTTATCAACAAATATTTATTGAGCAATAACAAAAACTAACAAAGGAGTACTTATTATATATTGGCTATGGTGTTTGGTCCTAAAGATATACAGTGAATGAAACAGTCCTGATATCTGCCCCCTGGAATTTAAGATTTAATGAAATGATAGGAAACAAGCAGTATCAAGAAAGTGAGATAAATAAAAAACTGACCTTCTGGGTGCAATGGAACACCCAGCAAGAGCACCCCAGAACTCTGAGGTAATAAAGGCAGGGCTCACAAGAATGCAAGGACTGGTAAGGAGTATCCCAAACAGAAGGAAGATCTACCAATAGAGAGAGATCAAGGTGTATTCAGGAACTGATACACAGATAGACCTAGAACACAGCTTGAGGGAAAGGTGCTAATAAAGCTAGAGATATAAGCCAGTGCCAGATCATTTTTAAACCACATCAAATTTGGATTTGTCCTAATAACAATAGGAAGTCACTGAAAAATTTCAAGCAGGGAAGGGACATTAAATTGGTGTTAGAGAAAGATCACCCTAGCTACTATGAGGAGAAAAGACTAGAAAAACCTAAGAAAATGTAGGACACGAAGGCAGGGGAGAAATCAATGTATAATTCTAATCTTCCTGCTTACCTCCATATGGGTGGCAGTACCATTTATTGAAGTAGAAGTGTTAGAAGAGAAACAGGTTTGGATTTATTTGGGGTGAAGAGGGAGAATGGGCACAGGAAGGTGAAATTACATTTACTAAACAGAGTGCTTGTGACATATACAAATGGAGACGTTGGTACAATCAGATATGAACGTCTAGAGGCAAGGAGAGAGGATTAGGCTACAGATATTGTAAGTCATTGAATAACTAGAGTGAGAGTAATATTCTGTGAAAAACAAAAAGGGTCTAGGAGAAAACCTGGAAACAGAATCTAGAGTATTACTCACAATTAAAGGGACAGCAAGAAAGGAAAGGTACAAATGAAGTCAACTCAAAGGATAGATATAAAATCAGCAGAATACGGAAACAGAGAAGCTAGAGAGTTTTAAAGGCAAGAAATCACAATGCTGACTGCTGCAAAATAGTAGTCCACTGGATTGAGCAATAAATCTAGTCATGTCCTTATCAGAAGCAATCTATTGATATCAGAATCCATGAACTGAGGACTGTGTGGGAGCTGATAAAAAAGAGCAGAGACAACTCTTTCAACAACTGTAGTAGTGAAAAGGTGAGAGGAAAATTAGCTGAAAGGTCAGGGATCAAGAGAAGGCTTATTTATATGTACGTAAGCCTATCTCTGCAAGCGTGGATGCACCTGAGCATGTGTGGAGGGGTGTATATATATGTGTATGTATATATATGTGTATGTATATATATATATATATATATATACATGTAGAGGCAAGCTCAACTATAAATGAAAAGGGAGAAGAAGCAGGAAAGAGTTTAAAAACTGAAAAATAAAAGAAAGAATAAAAATCATAAAACCAAGCTCCTGAGAAGGAAAAAAATGATGTGCTACCAAGCTCAGGTGAAGGGATTAATCACAGAGCAAACAGCATTTCCATAGTAACAAGAAGGAGAGCAAAAGGATAGCTGCAAAAACAGCTAGTAAGGTCATTTTCAAATGTGGGGCATCAAGGGGAGGAAGCTGTCATCCAAAGGGGAGGGAGCTGTCATCTCATGGTTTCTCTTTAATGTGCTCTTTAGGAGAAAAGGAGATCTGCAGGCAAAAGACAATGTACTAGCAGAGGTATGAAAAAAGTGAGAAAGAAAACAGCCACTACAAGATCAGGACAGTGTACCAGCGAGGGGAGTTATGGGTGGTTACCCAGGCTGAGGAACCTGTTAAGGTTTGTGACCAAAGAATTTATATAGGCATGAATCCACAGGATTTACCTTTCTCCAGAAATAACAATGGGAATAGCATTAAAAAGTCATACAACTGCATTCAACAAGAGTTGAATTAAACTATTTCTGCCAAGCAATATAACAGAACCATTGAAGCAAGTGACACCATATAAGAGAGTGGTTAAAGTGATGGACTGTGTAAACTGATAAAGAAAGCATTCATGACAGGAAAAAGCAAATGGCAAAAACATACAGGATTTCTGGAATAGAAAATATGGAATATAGAGTACACTGAGAATAACTGAGCAAAAATAAAGAAGATTGTGGTTACAGAATAAAATATCTGAATTTATGATTTCAGAAACAGAGCAATTCTTGGTGATGAAAAGTACAATGGTCCTAGAAGAGGATACCTAAAATGAAGGGAAAAGGTCACTGAAAATATGTGGAAAGTTGACAGATGGACAGAAAGGGTGAAGTTATGAAACAAGCAGAAGGTATAAAATAGCATGGTGCTCAGAGAACTCCACGTTGTCTAATAATTAGGAGGGAGCAAAGAGCCAGGGTAGGTAGGATGTGTAAGCAGCATAGTCTTCAACTGGAACGCAATTTTTCTCAGAATAATAGACATCTTTTAGCATCTAGGGCTGTCAAATTAAAAAAGAATTAGCCATGGGCCTCTAATCCAGCGGTTCAAGAGGCTGAGGCAGGAAGATCACAAGTTCAAAGCCAGCCTCGGCAAAAAGTGAGGTACTAAGCAACTCACTGAGACCCTGTGCCTTAAATAAAATTAAAAAATTAAGCTGGGAATATGGCTCAGTGGCTACTGCCCTGAGTTCAATCCCAGTACCCTTCCCCCACCCCCACCCCCCAAAATTAGATTATCTTCAAGGAATAGAAAGGGTGGAAGAAACAGAGAAGCAGACTATAATGTATAGGAGAATGTTCTAATTATTAATGATCTAAATAGAATGTCTCAGAAGAAAAAGTATACTCATTATTACTAGAAGTGTTTAAGCAAAACTCAACACTAATAGGCTTATACAAGAATAAAACAGGGGCTTTAAATCCAACTCCATGGAGGTAGTAAGAGAAAGACACCACTTACCAATTCTACACCAATTACTCCTGCACCAATAACAACCATCTTTTCTGGAACTTTTTTTAAAGATAAAGCACCTGTAGATGACACTATTGTATCTTCATCAATCTATGATAAGAAAAGCAAAAGACACAATCAAAATTTCTTGGAAAAAAACAATAATTTATAAACTGCTATCTCATTCCATAAAAATCACTGAAAAAATTAAGACCTTTTTTTGAAGTATCTATCACCTCTATATGACCAATTTCATCAAATTCCATTAATAATGCTAACCTTAAATCTTGCTATTCAGCATTCCAAAACAAAAAGAATTTTAACTTTAGATTGAACTCCTATATATCTTAATATAAAATTTTATGTTATCTGGTCAAATTCACTGCAGAATAAGTAAGGTAAGTAACTTTATAAATCCTAATGATTGTCAAAAAATATATTTCAGCCAGAAATCTCTCATTCAAAAAATTCATAAATTAGATAAAGTAAAGTAAACTGGGAATTGAACTCAGGGGCACTCTACGCTGAATTACATTCTCAGACCTTCTTATTTTTATTTTGACAGGCTCTTGCTAAGGAGAATGGCCTTGAACTTCCAATTCTCTTCCCTCAGCCAAGTAGCTGGGATTACAAGCTTAGGCCACTGAGCGTAATTTATAAAACTTATTTCTAAAGAAAGGTATAACAGGTGTAAATTTATAAAGCATACCGTGATTCCAGGAAAAGGAGTAACTTCTGAACCTGTAGCTATAAGAATGTTCTTTGTATCAACAACCTGAGTGCTGCCATCGGCTTTCGTAGCTGTGACCTGATTCTTGCCAGTTATCTTTCCATATCCATTGACGTGAACAACCTTTATAATGTTTATAAATTCACAAAGCTTAAAATGATTTTTTCTGACAAACATGAGTAACAGGGAAAAAATATTCAGTAATTAATTTAAAATACAAAATGCTTTTGTACTTTAAAAAATTGTGTACATGTCAGAGAAATCTATTTCTGGTTATTACTGTCTTTAAATTAAGCAAATATCCCCCAGTAGGCAAGTTCGAATAGCACAACTGTATTAGCATAATGTATAATGTTTAATGTGTATATAAAATTAAACAGAAATCTACAAGATGAACACCAACCTTATTTTGCTTGAATAAGTGGGCAATTCCACCTGTTAAAGCTTTTACTGCAGTACTCTTCTGCTCCATCATCTTCTCTAAATTCAAACGAACTTCAGACACTGTAATTTATTAAATAAACCTTAAGTCTATAACTAAATTCTTGAAGCAATGTGTGGTATATTTTACTAATCAAGGTCTGAAAAATTGGTTTAATGCTGATAGAATTGCATAAAAATCAGAATTAAAATTTTTAAATCTAATAGCTGGCTTAAAAATCACAGAAGACAAAAGCCAACATATCATACCACAATAACAGAGCTTATTAAACATTGTACTATGTGTATCGGAGGTAAAAATGCAGTGCAAAATAAAATATGGGTAATATATTTGTTTTAGCGTATATACAACACCTCTATAGTCAGTGATTGCCTACACATGGTCCTTTCTCTCAGAAACCTACTGCTATAAAGGAAAAAATGAAGGACAAGTTAATAACTCAAGGTATATTTAGGTCTTTCCTAGAAAACTTCAGGGAGATAACAATAACTAGAAAGAAAGGGTGAAAACAACCCCAAAAAGTATGAAAGAAGACCCATCAAATTCAATTGTTACAAAATATCCTCCTTTTATTCTACTATGCCTCTTCCTTCTCTATCTCCTTGGCCCTTTCTACTACCAACAACTTGAGGAAACCTTCCCTCCTTTATGTGTTCACCAAACTCAGGAATCCAGCTTCCCCAGGTTCTCAAGATGTTAGGGAAATGAAAAATGAGTATTTACAACAAAATTAGTAGACATCTGGCAAAAGTCTGCAAAAGAAAAAAACATACCATGCAAAAAAATCTGGATCTAAGTAATCTTAAGTAAATCTCTACATTTTTAAGATTTGTTTTCTTCCTCTTCCCTCATTAAACATCTATTCACAAATACTAGCCATATGAAAGTATTTAGCAAGAAGAATCAAGTATGCCCCAAAATGTTGCTAAATATAAAAAGTATACTTACTTTCAATTCCCCGAGATGCAAAATCTTTTCCATGGGCCATATGGTAATAGTGAGAATTATTCAACAAAGCCTAAAAAAAGCAACAAGACAAAATTATCAATTACTCAGACTCTCAACGATCAAAAAGCACTTATGAAATGACATTCTCTACATGAACTAATACATAAGACTACACCAGTTCACATTATCTTCTTATGTAATTAATCTAAGACAAATAATAATGAAATAAAAAATTCAACCAACAAGAACGGAAACCAAAAAAACTACTTTCTTTAAAAGCACAAGTGTAAGAACATGCCTCTACATGGCAGATAAAAAAAGGCAGTCATGTTCATTCTTCATAGAACTAGAAAAAAGAATCAAGAAATTCATTTGGAAAAATAAGAGACCCAGAATAGCCAAAGCAATCCTCAGAAAGAAAAGTGAAGCAGGAGGCATCACGATACCAAACCTTAAATTATATTGCAGAACAACAGTAACAAAAATGACATAGTATTGGTACCAAAATAGATATGCAGACCAATGGTATAAAACAGAAGACACAGAGACCAACTCATATTAAATACAGTTATCTCATACTAGACAAAGGCACCAAAAACATACATTGAAGAAAAAATAGCGTATTCAACAAATGGTACTGGGAAAACTGGAAATCCATATGTAACAAATGTAATTAAACCTCTATTTCTCACCCTGCACAAAAATCAACTCAAAGTTAATCAAAGACCTAGTTAGACACTAGAACAGAGACCCTGTGCCTAACAGAAGAAAAAGTAGGCCCAAATCTTCATCATGTTGGCTTAGGACCTGACTTCCTGAACAAGACTCCTAAAGCACAAGAAGTAAAATCAAGATTCAATAAGTGGGATGGATTCAAACTAAAAAGCTTCTTCTCAGTACAGGAAACAATCAATAACATGATGAGAGAGCCTACAGAATGGGAAAAAAAATCTTTACCACATGCACCTCAGATAGAGCACTAATCTCCAGGATATATAAAGAACTCAAAAAACTTACATTATAAAAACAAATAACCCAATCAATAAATGAGTTAAGGAACTGAACAGATATTTCACAGAAAAAGAAATACAACTGATCAACAAACATATTTTAAAAAGTTCATTATCTCTAGCAATTAGAGAAATGCAAATCAAAACTATGCTAAGATTTCAGCTCACTTCAGTCACAATGGCCATTATCAAGAATACAAGCAATGGACTGGGGTTGTGGCTCAGTGGCAGAGCACTTGCCTCATACATGCGAGGCACTGGGTTTGATCCTTAGCACCACATAAAAATAAATAAACAAAGATACTGTGTCCATGTATAACTAAAAATATTTTTAAAAAATAATACAAGCAACAATAAGTGCTGGCAAGAATGAAATTGGTGCAACCACTATGGAAACCAGTATGGAAATACCTCAGAAAACTTGGAATGGATCCACCATTTGACTTAGCTATCTTACTTCTCAGTTTATATCCAAAGGATTTAAAATCAGCATACATCAGTGACACAGCCACATCAATGTTTACAGCAGCTCAATTCTCAACAGCTAAACTATGGAACCAATCTAGATGCCCTTCAACAGATAATAGATAAAGAAAATGTATACATATACACAAACGGACTATTACTCAGCCTTAAAGAAGAATGAAATTATGGCATTTGCAGGTAAATGGATGGAACTAGAGAATATCATGCTAAGCGAAATAAGTCAATCCCAAAAAAAACAAAAGCCAAATGTTTTCCCGGATAAACAGATGCTGATCCATAGTGTGGCAGGAGTATAGGAAAGAATAAAGGAACTTTGGTTTGTGTAGAGGGAATGAGGGGAGGGATGGGACTATTGGGATGGGAAGGATAGTAGAATGAGACAGAAATTATTACCCTATTTACATGTATGATTACACTACTCTGCACTATGTACAGCCAGAAGAATGAGAAGTTGTGCTCCATTTGTGTACAATATGTCAAAATGCATTCTACTGTAAAACAATTAAATAAAAAAAGAAAAAGGCAGTCATATTTACATACATAAGAACCTAATAGAATTTACTATTCATTATCTGCTTCATTACGAAAGAAAACTATGAAGAAAAAGAAAATGGATAATCAGATTTTAAATGGAAAGGTTAGGTATTGATAGAAAAAGCTATTTCAGGAATGAGTGGCAGGCTGGTGACAGCACTGTTTTACAAAGAAAAAAATGTGTCTTTCCTAATCTTACTTGGGTCATTTACTTCTTATTAACTGTATTAAGTTAATAAGAAGTAAATGACCCAAGTAAGTATTAAGTTATTATTAATAATATTAATTATTAAGTTATTATCTAATAATAACTGTATTACATTATTATTAGTAATAATAATAATAATCTAATCTCAATAATCTAGTCTAATAATCTAGTCTCAATACATCCTTATATTTTGTGGCCAATGAAAAAAACATCTCTGCACTATTCAATATACATGCTCACCTTAGAAGGAATACAACCAACATTCAAGCAAGTTCCACCAAGTGTTTCATTTTTCTCAATGCACACTGTCTACAACCAAAGAAAATATCAGTTAACTGCATGAAATTTGCAAAGTTTCAGTTCACTAAAATTCTAAACTCATCTGTCTTAACTGTTCTGCAAAACAATCTATTTAAACTATTTTTCAGGGACTAACACATAGATAACTTTAAAATTCATCATTTGAATAAAAAAACACAAGCTAGCTTCAAAATGAATTACTCTAAAAGGTATTTTTGTTTAACATTACCATATATATGCTTGTACTTCTATCACAGTATCTTCCAAAATGTGATTAGAAGCTCAAGTGAAAAGTTTCAGGAGGAAAGAAAAAACGAAGGGTCTTACTTTCAATTCCTTGAGAATACTACAACCAAATAAACCCTCTATCAGTCTCAGGGTTACAAATAATCTATAGAGTTAAGAAATTATTTATTATGTTTCTACCTGCAAAGTATTTTGTGAATATGATCTACCTGTCCTGTTTGCTTTTGTTTGAAAGCAAATCAACATCTAGTTTAATCTTACCTTAAAGCCTAACTGGGCAGCTTTAATGGCAGCAACATATCCTCCAGGACCAGAACCTATCACTGTTATATCAGCATCAACTATAATAAAAGCAAATTGATATAAAATAGTAAGTTGCTTAATACTTAACAAAAGGTGCTATTAAAAAAAAAAACCAAGATTTAAATCTCCAAGAAAGTGCCAATAACCAGAATTTTCTAAACAATATTCCTATTAACTTGACATTCTTTGATACTACTAAATATGGCACAAATTAAAATTTTCATTTTTTATTTTAAATTTCATTTTTATTTTCAATTATTTATTATAACACATGGAAATACAACTATAATATTACTGGTATCCAGTGACCTTGCTAAATTCTGTAGTTTTCCTTAATGATAACTGACAGGAATTTAGAACACAGGAAGATAAGTCTATATAAAGGAAAGAGACTATCTTTGGAATCTGAAACAATACTTCAAATTTCTGCTCTGCCACTTACTAATGTCTGATTATGGCCAAGTGACTTTGACTTTCTGTAAGATGAAGAAGATAAGCATGGAATAAATATGACATTTCAAAGAAGAAACAAGAGGTTCAGAGAGGTCAACTGACTAGCCAAATAAATCATCTAGCAACTGAATGGCAAGGCAAAACCAAGCTATTTCTACTAATAATAAATTTCCCATTATTTAATACTATTCCATTCCTTAATTTCAGCCACCATAAACTAAAATTCCAGAGAAGAACAATTGAGCTTTATAATTACTAGGTATATGACTTTAGGTGAGTAATTTAACCTGCTTCATGTTTGTTCCTCCATCTACAAAATAAAGACCACAAAAAATATATATAATTTACAGCATCATAACACAAAATAATGTACATTGGGACCTGGAAGAGGATGTATTTTAATTGTCAGTGGCCTTAATTTCCAGTGTACAGTCATACTCTCCCACACTCACTCTATACTTGATCTCACCTGAAATTGCTCATCCTCTGAAATCCTGAATTGTAATACTTCACTTTCTGATCAAAACCCTACAATCTCCTAATCCATAAAGAAAAAGAAATATAACAACAGATTTGAAGTAAAACAACCCCGGGTTCAAATATGAGCTCTATCAGCCCTAAATCCTTGGATAAATTATTTAATCTCTCTGGACTTTGATGTAACATATGGATAATAATAAGGAAGATATCTATAACCCAAGGGTTGTAAGGACAGGGAAAACATAAGTCAAGATCCTAAAAAATGGATGGAACTAGAGAATAGCATGCTAAGTGAAATAAGCCAATCCCAAAAAAACCAAAGCTGAGTGTTTTCTGACAGGCAGATGCTGCTCCATAGTGGGGCGATGGAATAGGGAAGAACGAAGGAACTTTGGTTTGTGGAGAGGGGAATGAACGGAGGGGTAGGCCTGTGGGGATGCAACTTTAGTCTTGCAGTCTCCAGTCTTATTCCCATCCTCCATAACACCTTATACTGCTACACTGCTACCCTTGTTCTAGTCCTGCTAAAGACCAACTAAGATCATACTCTCTTGCTCTTCACTGATTTCCCTGTCTTTTACTTGAAAAAGTCCAGGTTAGTAATTTTTACACTCACATCTTTTCTGTCACTATTTCTCAAATCTCATATCACATTCGGTTTACCCAGGAAGCTTCAACAGAAATGTTAGCTTACATACACAGAATTATACTGGTCTATTGATGTACAGTCTGTTCCATCTACCCAAAATCAAATACTAAGAGCATGTATTTCATGAAGTTCTTGTGATATATATGATGCATGGTCCTGGTTCTTATATCTAATTAGAGAAAGAATTATAATAAAGTCAAATCTGAGAGAGAAAAAGAAATTACATCAAAATAGAAAAAAATTATATAAAAATAGAATTACATTAAAATAGGAAAAAAAAAAAAAGGTCAGTGGACTAGATGAAAGGGACTGAGGGGGAGGGAGAAGAGATGAGGCGGGGGAAAAACAGCAGAATGAATCTGACCTAACTTTCCTATGTACCTATATGGATATACCACAGTGAAATTTCACCATCATGTACATCCATAAAACACTTTAAAAAAAAAACTAAAAGTAAATAGCAGAAAGATAAGTAGAGTAGAGGGCCTGAACAACTTAGCAAGACCCTGACTCAAAATAAAAAGTGCTGGGGATGTAGCTCAGTGGTAAAGTGCCCTCAGGTTCAATCCCCAGTACCAAAAAAAGAAAAAAGTTATCAGTGTTAATATAATTCCATTAAAACCTAAGTTTCTGCTCAAGGAGTATCTACACATATAAAAAGCAATAAATATTTGTTAAATAACTCCTAAGATAAAGATTTAGCCATGAAAAGTATGCTTAGGAAATAAAAAACAAATTTATCTTATATAAGTTGAGAATAATAAGTAATATTTCCATTTAACAAAAGAGACATAGGGTATAATGGGTCCAACATTTTCCTCCCACCATCAAGTTAATATTTTTTTAATATTTATTTTTTAGTTTTAGGTGGACACAATATCTTTATTTTACATATATGGGGTGCTGAAGATCAAACCCAGTGCATCCTGCATGCTAGGCCAGCCCTCTACCACTGAGCCACAACCCCAGCCCAAAGTTAATATTTTTTAAAAAAAGGTTTCTGGACCTATTCAAAGCTAAAATAAATTACTCACTATTGGTTACTTGGGACTAGAATCCTCTGCCCCCCAACTTTCTTCTAAGAATAAAACATCTGAAATAATAGTTTGATAATACTTAAGGATTCAGGATAAAATTATTTCACAGAATGCAGGGAGACCGACTGTCACAATTACCCCTAGCTAAAAGTTTCTACAGTGAGGTTTTATAAGACACACAATTTTTTACTTATAATCCAATTAGGTGAGTCCGGTAAAGATCAAACAGATAATTTCAAATAATCAATATCCATATTAGGAAGTTAAAAAGAAAATCTCAATTTTTATTTATATACTTCACGTTTTAAAAGTATGAAGAAGAAAATTCCATAATCCACAGCTTCCTTTTAGGTACATCTTGCTAGTTTTTAAAAGGTGCTTTTGATAAACCCATAAAGATTTTCATCCAGGACACCAAAAATCATTTCACCATTCTAAATTGTTAAAATGACCAACACAATATTACCCAGTAGGCAAAATCAATTAATTTTTTAAATTGCAAATATATAAAACTGCTCCTCAGTTCAAAATCTCTGTTGTTCCCCATCATACTTGGAGTCAAATCCACACTACTTGGCCTGATTTACAAAGCTTCCATTATCTGATCCTTGCCAACATCTCTGATTTTACATTCTGAGGGTCTCTGCACAAGCTGCATAAGCATTCTTGCTATTCCTGAAACCTCACAAGCTAATTCCCATTTCAGACCTTTCTCACTGCAGAAATAACCCTCGCACTCCTCTTTCCACTGAGGGCCCTGCTCAGACATCATCTGCTCAAAAAGGTGTTCCCTAACACCTTATCTTAAATAGTCTTACTCCAGTTATTGTTTTTAGTTTCAATTACCTCCTGGGTATTTATGTGTTACTTATGTATTATTTTTCTTTTATTACCAGCTTATTAAGTTTCATAAGAGCAGGGCTTTGCCTTGTTCACCACCCAAAAGACTCTAGGTGCTTAATAAACATTTCAGTGAATAAATACATAAACAAATGAATTCTAGCACAGATTACTTATAATTCAATATTCACCTGCTTTTACATTAAAACACAAACTGTCAGTTAATTCTATACTGTTGTACTAGGTACTTACTTGACTGATCAGCATAAGTTCTCAGAGGCACTGCAGAAACTCCCTGTAGGCCATGGCATATTCGATTGAAATGGCCTCTCTAGAAATGAGGAGAAATTTTTCTATTATGTAAAATACAAATCACAGAACTAATGAAGACTTATGAAAGTACAACAACTTTGGGCAAATAAATCAAGCACTGCTTTTCAATGTATCTTCTATTAGCACACAGAAATAATATCAATTTCTCTTTGTTGGTCATCATCTGCACTTTTCACAATCCCAGCTTACTATACTTATTTTTCATTTCAGATATTCAACAAATCACTTCATATTTAACCTAATAAAAGTGATATTATTATTAATTTTTCAGAAAGCATGGCTAATTTTTTATGCTGGGGATCATTAATACCATAATTAATGTTGAAATTTCAAATTCAAGGACTTGAATCTGCATTACAACAATTATTTTACTTGTAACTATGGTTTCCTACTCTACCCTACCATGAACGTTCAGTCCCTATTTACTTACATGTTCTTGAGCTATCAACTAGGAACTGCAAATTAGACAAGGTATTCAAGAAAATGCACTAAAAATGTACTTATTCTGTAGTTACTGTAGTTCCACAAACTGCATCTTAATGTCAACCTCTACAAACCCAAGGCTATCATTTCCTAAAAAGAGAGACACCTGCCCCTATCAAATGGGAGGCAGTGACAAAAATCTACTCTGATGTAGTAATATTCTCTATTCCAAGGCAACTCTTGCACCTGAAGTAAAGAAAGCAAAGAAGAGTGTCAATTCTGAATTTACTCACTGCTCTGCCTCTCTTTAAAAAGCTTGACTTCCGGCATGTTTCACTTACTTTCAGGAACACAGATACCTCAGATTTGAAAGTCTGATTGCTATGTTATCTTTAAGTTCTTTGTAATACCCAGCTCTGAACCAGAAACATACAATCTGGCTGTATTTGGTAGATGAATGAAACGATAACCCGATGCAATTAAAAATACAAGCCTGTTGGAGGACTTGCGGGATGGCAATGGACACTAGTTCAGAACTACAAACACAGAGGCCCTCATCTAGGGCTATATGTTGGGGTAACCCCAAGGTTACTACCAACAGCTGAAAATTAGGCCACTCAGGGGTCAGGATTAGGACTTCGAAAAAGGTATGAAGAGCCAGACCGTAAGTGAGAAGGGTGGTTTACACTTCCCCTGCCAAAGCGAAGGCCTATGGGAGACCCGTACGCCCCTCAGCCCAGGGGATGCAGTGTGAGAGACCGCACGTTGCCACACACTAGCGGGGACTGTACACAGCCCAGGCCCGCCTCTCGGCTGCCGCTATCGGAAAACCAGCGGTTACCAGCGAGCCAAGCCCGGGTCAAGAGGGAACTCTCACCAGGGCGCCGGCCTCTCCCACCACCACCCGAAAGGCCGCGTCCTGGACCTGTGAGCGAGCTCTTCGAACTTCAGGCTCAGCTCGACCCCAGGCAGTCGGCTCTCACCTTGGCCAAGGAGCAGTACACACGACTCCAACTCTGCATTTTTCCCCCGTGCTTTCCTTTTCGCCAATCCTTTCACCTCCGCTAAGCCGCCCCACTGCTATTCCAAGGTCTCCCCACCCTGCGCATGCACTAGTGAAGCCTACGTCATCACCCGGGCGCAGAGCGATTGGCCTGCGAGGTCGAGGTGTTCTTGTCAGGTTCGGCGTCGTAAGCTGCCGTAAAAAAAAACATGGTGCTTTGTGGCAGTGGAGCGTTACGCGATCATTTTAGAGGAAGCTGTCAAAACGTCCGGAGCTGCTTTGCAATTTTATACTTGGAAAATGAAATAAACAAATAAAACTATCGTTTGCCCAATACAGAATGCAAAATGGAAAGCTTGACGAGTCTACAAGCTGTCAGTAGTGCTAGACTTTCCTCGGCACTTTCCATAAGCATTATCTCACTTTGTAATAACCATGTGAGGTACTACTAGCCTCCGTTTCTTGGATGAGGCCCAGAGAGGTTAAACAAACAATACCTTCAAGATCTCGCAAGGGAAAAATATCTGCAGCCAAAAGTACAAGACTTTTGGTTTTGATTACTGCTTTATAAATTCTCCCTCAAGTGCTATATGAGGGATGGGGCCACAGACTTTTGCATCACAAGCACCTGCTCTAGGTAATTAACTAGCAATATATAGGAAACACCTATCGTCTATTTCCTCATTTAGGAGATACACCTCCCTTGTAAACAAAGGGTAGGATGGTGGGTGAGAGTTGGGGATTTTTTTAATTAAAAATAGGTAATAAGTTTAAAAGTGTTAAAACCATTGCCTTCAAGGGTTGGGGATGTGGCTCAAGCGGTGGCGCGCTTGCCTGGCATGCGTGCGACCCGGGTTCGATCCTCAGCATCACATACAAAACCATTGTCTACAAAATTGAGCACTGAGGTCTGTTTCTCTCTTTGTGATAACTCTATTTAGTGTGGATAAAACTTCTTCATTTCCTGAAAGTTTACCACCCAGGCACTGTGCTGGGGGCTCTGTGGTTTAAACATTCGTTAGGAATTACTCCTTACCTACATGTGCTCAGTTTTAGGGGAGAAGAATGACACTTAAGAGTTTGTTATAGACACTGCTAGTTGCCACCCAATAATCATTCTCCCTTTTTTATATAGTAGTAGAATAGCTGGACACATAGGTGCCCAGAATAACAGTTACTTTTTCCCTTGAAGCATATAAAGCCATGTGACCAAACACTGGTCAAATCCCTTCCTCTTTCAATATGTGTTAAATTATTTCTGATAATTCTCAAAGGAATAGCCTTTATTGTAGTATTTTTAAAACATGTTCAAAATGACTTGACATTTCTCCCATCAAAAAGTTAACTTAGGGGCTAAGAGTGTGGTTCACTGGTAGAGCACTTGCCTAGCATCACACAGCACTGGGTTCAATCCCCAGCATCAAATCTCTTCCTACCCCCAAAAGTGGACTTAATCTAACCTTCTCCTGACCTGTACCAACCTTAGGTGAGTACTTCTTCTAATAAATAGAATGCAGCAAAAGTGATATGGGGTGACTCTTAGACCCTAAGAGTCCCCATTTTTGTCCTGGCACTCTGTGCTTGCACACTACACTTGTCACCCCCACTCCCCCCCACCACCACCTTTCTCTATACATTATACCTTATATCCCAGTCACTATGTTGCCAGGAAGTCAAGTTGCTAATTGTAGATATTCCAGTCCCAGTAGACAGCCAATAAAAACTATTAGTCATGTGAGGGAGCAAGCCTTCAAAGGATAGCAGACTCCAGACCAAGTATTACTCAACTTCCATGTTTATCAGTAAAAATAAGCATTGTCATTGTTTTAGCCATTATGTTTTAGGGGATAGTCTATTGGACAACAATAGATAACTGGAGCGCTTACATCCCCACAAGTCAGTTGTAATTCCATTGTTCTCTCTTCCTCTCCTTATGATAAAAAAATTTCTTACCACTGTTGCTATTTATTATGAGAATGGCAGCATTCTTGTTGCCCTGTAGATATTGCCATTCTCCCACCAAAATGGAACCAAATATGCAAAATCAGTTAGTATACAAACTTGGCTGCCATAACAGGGCTTCCCAAAATAATGACACAGGAGTCCATTTCTCTCTCATATGGAAATGTAGGTGGTTGTTTCTGGAAGCTTTGTCCAAGCCTTCATCTTTTATTTCAAGATGGCTACTCTGCCGTCATAACGTCATTTCACGTAATTACAAAACCATATCTAGCTGCAACAGGAAGCATAGGCTTGTCACCTGAGTACCCAGATAAAATTATATTAATAAGAAAAGATGAGGATGGCTGGGGATATGGCTCAAGCGGTATCCCGCTCGCCTGGCATGCATGCGGCCCTAGTTCGATCCTCAGCACCACATACAAGCAAAGATGTTGTGTCTGCCGAAAACTAAAAAATAAATATTAAAATATCTCTCTCTCTCTCTCTCTCTCTCTCTCTCTCTCTCTCTCTCTCTCTCTCTCTCTCTCTCTCTCAAAGAAAAGATGAGGAAATACTGGGGACAGTGAGCAACATCTACCACACAGGTGAGAAGAACTGCTTCTCCTTCCCCAGCCTTCTGCAAAACTTGGACATCTAGTTTAGGACTCATTTCTGTGTAAGTACCAAATCAAACAATTCTTTCCTGAACTGTTCTGCAGCTTTTGACTCCTACTCCCTTTCTAGGATTATAATATTTTCATAAGAAAAACACCTCCAACATTTCCAGCTGTCATTCACAGAGCCCAGGAGCTCAACCAGGTATGAGAAGGCAAGTAAGATATACTTTCCTTACCACACTCCCCATGCTCCTCCATGCTTCTCTCCACCTCTTCTAACAACTATATCTCTTCTCTCTTCAGCAAGGTCACAACTTATATTAATTAATGCAAATAATCTTAGGAAAGTTTGATCAATGAAGAAAAGCCCAAACTTTTATTAGTGTTTGTATTCCAGGTAAGGCAGCCAAAAATAGGACCATAATTATTTTTGGTAACTTGCCTTTTTTTCACTTGAAATATCTCATGGGCAACTTTCCATATCAATATTAACCTGTAATATTAGTTCTAATTACGTCTTAGTATTTTTTAGATGCACCTTCATTTAATTAATTATTCCTTATTATTAGATATTTCATAATATTGAAAATATTATGAACAGCTTGTGGCTAAGCCTTCACCCACATTTTTAAAAAATCATTTCCTTACAGTAAATTCCAGGAAGAAGAATTACTGGGTCAAATAAATAACATATTTTAAAGCTTTTAAGCTGTATTTAACTTATTTTAATTCCTAACAGTGGTTGCCTTAAATTAATCATAAGTTCTAACTGGCAGTTCCAAATATCATTCATTAGTTTAAGAGGGTTAATGGAAATAAATTATTAATTGCACCTGCAATAAGTCAGACAAACAAAATATTTCAAAACATGACTTTTAAAGCACTGTCTTTACTTATAGAAAAGAAGAAATATCAACTGAAGTATTCTATACTTCATTGAATATTTTGGCACAATGGTAGTAACAAGAACATGGATTTTGCAGTTGGCTAGGCCTGCATGGACTCTCAAACTCCACTTAATAAACAAATGCAGAAGCTTGTGAGCATTTCTTAGCTTCTGTCATCTTCAGCTCCTCTAAGGGTAACACAAGGTGCTAGTTCCCATGCCACAGGCTGTTGTAATACCAATGTTAATTCCCTTCTACACAGCCCTTTCCCTGACTTGTTAAATTAAATCTTAATTCCTTCTTCCCTCTGTGTAACAGTCTGAGTGAGTTTTACAGGAAATTGTGCTTTCAGAATGCTAAGAGACTAACTAGTTTAAGTGATCAAAAAGTGGCCACAGTTAAATGCTCTGTCCAGGGATGGAGTACAATGTGGACTCTTTATCCTTTAAATTTCCTTCAGTGGCTCTTCTTCCTCTGCTTTGTTAAACAATGATGGTTCATAGAAACCTGTTTTTAACTTCGTGTTCTTTCTGTTGTACGTAAGTATTTTGGCTATCTTACCCATTTTAATAGGCTAAGCTTCCACCTACATACACTGATAACTTCTAGAGCCTTATCTCCAGTCTACTTCTCTCTTAATCTTCAATTCCATATTTTCGATTGTCTACTGGACATGTCCAGCAGGCACCTAGTTTCAATTAACTAACTTCAAAACATAAAATGTATTTTTCCTTATAACCATGATTAACATTATCACTAAACAGTCTATCATCCACAACAAGAATTTTCTAGTCATTCTCAGCTCCTCCAATTATCTTAATATAAGTAATCACTGCTTTAATTGAGCTCTCCTAGAAGGGGAATTGAAACTCAGATTCACTGGAGACTTTGAGAGACAGCATAGAGCCCACTGTAGGGTTGTCCTATCCAAAATATATCCATTGCCTTCTGCTAATCATTAGTGCAAACTGTTAGCAGGGGTTTTAACTACCTGGTACTTTTGGCCTGCCCAATAGGTGAATTGAGTGAGTATCCGCAACCAGGGAAATCCCTTATGCAAAAAGTCTGTGGTGCTCGCAGTGGGAAAGCTTTTGGTGAGCATGCATAAGAAAAGTGAATGCTGAGTGGAAAAGTGAATGCTGAGTGGATACAGGAAAGACACCAACAAGATCAGCTACCATCCAGTCCTATCAGATTGGATAGTCTAATCCAAGCCCTAGAAAGAGAGGAAAGGAAATGTTGAAAATGGCTCTAAAGTTTGTAGCATGAAACCCAATACAAAAATTGACAACACAGGAGAAAAAGCAGCATCGAGAAAAGGCAATCAATTAAGTTCATCGAATTTGAGAGGCCAGCTGGACAATCTAATGGAGAAAAGTTACTGGAAACACACATCTAGCATTTAGAAACATTAGACATGGAGTTGAAAGTTCGCTGGCATACGGCTCAGGTGTTATGTGTAATAATAGATAACTTCACTAAGGATAACCCCTATAAAGGAAGTTTATGAGGAAGTATGCCAAGAAGCTGGAAGATTATATGCCAGGCACAGAACAAGTGCCCATCACCATGGACTTTATGTCCTTCTAGAAAAGACTGTTCTATAAGCTGCCTCAGGCAAGGGCAGAACATTCTGTGGGATGTGGGGGCTTCCTAGAGGGACCTCTGGCCAAAATATTTCCACTCTTTCT